CCCCCCGCACCCCAACCTCCTGCATCCCCAGCTCTGCCAGTGCATCCCAATGATCTTGCATCCCAATATCATTGCTCTGTACCATAGCTGTCCCTTGCTCCAGGCACTGAATGTGAGTTGGGTTATGTACGGGGTGGTAATTGCAATAGACGTTTGCATACCAGGGAGTGAGGACTTCAAGGAGATGCATTCTGTGCCTGTGGTGTGGAGGGCTGGGTACAGAGACATGGCTGGGGAAGTGTGCCAAAGCAGGTCTGGTGGGACCCCACTGGTGTGTGTGCATGCACATGCATGTGTATTGGGGGGGATGGTTCAGTATGTTAACTGTGGGACATATGTACAACTGCCTAAATAACTACTAACTCCTACCAGCCACATCTTTTCCTGTTTAAAAAAAAAAAAAGGAAATTAAATGGGGAAAAAACTACATTGATGCAGGGTTAAGGTTGCCTGGTGGTATGTCGAGTGTCAGCTGGAATCCTGTGGGTGAGAGTCTCTAAACCTACTGCTAACCAATCCTGTGGGTTGTAAATGGAGATGAAGCACTCGTACATTTCATCAACTGTGGAATTGGCAGATGAAAGGTATATGTGTCAATGGGTCATATTCGGATATTGCTGAGACAGGGCAGAGGTAAGGCTGCATGGGATTCCTTAACTGTGCATTTCCTGGTTTTCAGACATTTAAGTTTTGTGCAACTGAGCTTTCTGCCATGGGACAACATATCACCAAGCAACCATAACTATGCATTACCATAGCTTTTCGCCATGGATTAATACTTAGTCTGGGGATAATTGTGACATTGTTGTAATGTTGTTTCCCTTAAACTACCAATAGGAACTCTCAACTTTAACATCATCTTGCCATAGTTTGTGTGTGGGAATACACATCGAGACAAGACATCAGAGGGGCAACTGTGACATCTCCTCTGCAGTTTCCCAGGTCGCCTGTCTTGCCTTTTCCCACTCTTTGTTTCTTTGGGCCATAGGGTTTCTCCACAAGAAGGAGATCAGTGGATTTCCTGCACCTGTCCCGGCACTGCTGGAAATGATGAGATCTCCCGGATGGGGCTAAGAGATGGAGGGGAAAGGTGGAGACAAGCCTTGTGCTTGGAGACAGGACAAAGGGAGGGAAGTAAAGAGGGAGTAGGTGGGTTAGGAGATGGGCCTGCAGCAGCATTTTGAATAGCTGAGTGTTAGTTTGGAGGCCTGAGGTCCAAGAGGAAGAGATCATAATAATCAAGGCAGGAGATGCAAGGGGCTTGGACAAGAGCTTTGATCAGCTTTATAGGCAGGTAAAGGCTGGGTCTTCCCAGTGTCCTAGGGGCCACAGCAGTGAGGTTTAGACACAGTTTGGATGTGTGGGTCTGAGTGAGGGCCAGGTCAAAGTGACATGCTGATTACCAATATGAGTGACAGGGAAGCGAGGGATGTAGTCTGGGGTGACAGTGGGGAGAAGGAAGGGCTTGGGGGAAGATGAAGAGCTCCATTTAGGCTGTGTTAGATTTCCCTGAGAGATGTCAGAGAGACAGGTGAGATGTCAGTGTGGATGGAGCAAGACTGGTCTGCGGGAGACAGGTAAACTATAAAGTGAAAGCTGTTGCTGGTGTCACAACATACCTAAATACATGCACATTTCTCACACTGGTAAGGAACATAAGCCAGTTCACTAGCTCTAGGGAGGAATGGAAGCTGGTGTGACCAAAGTGCAGCCACCAGGCATGGAGCGCAGTGACCCTTCTCTCTGCACCAATGCAGAATTGCATGCTGGGAGCTGCAGGCTCCATTGGCCATGCCTCTGGATTGTAGAACAGGTGGTTGGAATCTGCTCCAATTTTTGCACATTTTCTATGGCTCTTCAGGTTTAGACAAGATGCCAATGTGACTTTCAAGTGAGCACAGTGTGAGCAACCTGCTTTGGTGCTATCAGTACTTGTGTCATGTATCCATCCCTCTCCACATCAATCGCCCTCTGACTGGACTGACCTCTTTAGGTGCCTCCGTCTGGATGAACTCCTCATAAATTTTCTTGGCCTTCTCAGCCATCTTGGTGGGGGACTTGATTTTCTTGTATTCTTCACAGGCAATCCAGAACTCAATGTTCTCCTCACTGAACTCGGATCTAAGGAAGCTCCTGAAGCTGGCAAGCCCATCTGCTCAGAGAGAAAATTGGGAAACACTCTCAACATCACACTCCCCAGTACAATCAGCTGGAAGAAATGAATTTGACATGGCTGGGGCAGTTTGGGAGTGGAAGGGAAATGGAGACGTCCCAGACCATGCACATCCAGCTCTGCCAGACCCAACCTTTGTTCAAGGTGTTTGCACTGACAATGTGAGATCATATCACCATGTTATGACATGGCACAGAGCAAAGACCATGTCGTGCTGACCTGTGAGGCTGTGTCTGATCACAGTGATCCCTTCATGCAATTAGCACCACAGAACCCCGAGATGTTCAAGCTCTACGTACATTGTGAACAATCACAGAATCCAAACCCAATCTTCTCTCACCTCACACACAAGCTCTTTTCAGTTATGGACATGTTTAGGTCCTCAGCAAACAAGCCCAGCATTGTTCGGGTGCTTGACTTTGGCATTCCTGCTCTGGGACACCCTGAGCCCTGGGGAAATGGCACATCTGAACCCAGATCTGAATTTCCTATCTGGCTCCTGTCTCTGCAAGGGCCCAAACCAACAACCTGGGCCTCTCCTGGAGTTCTCTCCTGCATGTCCCAAGTCCGGGGGTGGGGGGGAGCTACAGGGAGCAGAATGGATGTGCCAGAATGCATTTGAGTGCATTTATGTGTGCAAGTCTGTGCTTGATTCACAGGGAGAGGGAGGGAGAGATGGTACAGGAGTGGAAAGAACATATGGGAAGGGGTCAAAAATTCCTCTCGTGAGCCTGGCTAGCAGTGCTGTGGGGTGGGATTGGGGGTTCCCCTTGTGCCCCTGTCTGGCAGTGCTATGGGTGGGGTAGGGGTTCCCCTCGTACCCCTGGCTGGCAGTGCTGTGGGATGGGGGGTCCCCTCGTGTGCCTGGCTGGCAGTGATGTGGGGCGCAGGGGGTCCACTCGTGTGCCTAGCTGACAGTGCTGTAGGATGGGGGTCCGCTCGTGTGCCTGGCTAGCAATGCTGTGGGGTGGGGTTCCCCTCGTGCATCTAGCTGGCAGTGCTGTAGGGTGCGGGGGGTCCCCTTGTGCTCCTGGCTGGCAGTGCTGTGGGACTGAAGTGTTATATTTTGAACATGTCGCAATGAAATATTTGGAGGGGTTGGGCATTGTTTGTTTTTTGTCCACAACAAACACCATTCACCTTCCTTAACGCAAACTGGTATTTTTCAGTGAATACACTAGTCCTTTGGAAATTTTCAACAGGCTCTTGTGCATGCACCTTTTCTCCCAGAAGCTAATTCCTGTCCGGCCCTTTCTCTTTAAGCCTTTTCAAAGCTGGGCTCAGAGACCTCCAGGCCATAAAGGACCATCGTGATCATCAGGTATGACCTCCAGCACATCGCAGGACACAGAACCTCGCTCACCCACTCCTGTAATAGACCCCTAACTTCTGGCTGAGTTAGTGAAGTTCTCAAATCATGGTTTAAAGGCTTTGAGTTACAAAGAATCCACCATTTACACTAGTTTAAACCTGCAAGTGATTCTTGCCCCATGCTGCACAAGAAGGGGCTAACCCCCCAGGTCTCTGCCAATCTGACCCAGGGGAAAATTCCTTCCTGACCCCAAATATGGCAATCAGTTAGACCCACCAGCCAAACACCTGGGAAAGAATTCTCTGTAGTAACTTAGAGCACTCCCCATCTAGTGTCCCATCTTCAGCCATTGGAGACATTTGCTGCTACATGCTGCAGATCAGCTACATGTTGTAGGTAGTTTCGTCAGACTACCCCCTTCATAAACTTATCAAGCTCAGTCTTGAATCCATTTAGTTTTTTTGCCTCCACCGTTCCCTTGGGGAGGCTGTTCCAGAACTTCACTCCTCTGATGGTTAGAAAATGTCATCTAATTTCATGCCTAAACTTGTTGATGGATAGTTTATATCATTTATTCTTGTGTCAACACTGAACTTAACTCCTCTCCCTCCCTGGTATTTATCCCTCTGATGTATTTATAGAAAGCAATCACATCTCCCGTCAGCCTTTGCTTGCTTAGTCTAAACAAGCCAAGCTCTTTGAGTCTCCTCTCACAAATTAGGTTTTCCATTCCTCTGATAATTTTTGTAACCCTTCTTTGCACCTGTTTCAGTTTGAATTCATCTTTCTTAAGCATAGGAGACCAGAACTGCACACACTATTCCAGATGAGATCTCACCAGTGCCTTGTACAACGATACTAACACTTAATTATCTCTACTGGAAATACCTCACCTGCTGCATCCTAGGACTGCATTAGCCTTTTTCATGGCCGCATCACAATGACGGCTCATAGTCATCCTGTGATCAACTAATACACCCAGGTCTTTCTCTTCCTCTGTCACTTCCAATCCAACATCCACAGTTTATAGCAAAAATTCTTATTGTTAATCCCTAAATGCATGACCTTGCACTTCGCATTATGAAATTTCATCCCATTTCTATTACTCCAGTTTTTAAGGTCATCCAGTTCTTCTTGTAGGATATTCTGGTCCTCCTCTAGATTGGCAATACCTCCCAACTTTGTGTCATCCACAAATTTTATTAGCACACTTCCACCATTTGTGCCAAGGTAAGTAATAATGTTAAATAAGATTGATCCCAAGACTGATCCCTGAGGAACACCACTAGTAACCGCCCTCCAGCCTGACAGTTCACCTTTCAGTATGACCTATTGTAGTCTCCCTTTTAACCAGTTCCTTATCCACCTTTCAATTCTCATATTAATCTCTTCTCCAATTTAACTAATAATTTCCTATGTGCAAATGCTGTACTGAAATCCAGGTAGATTAGATCTACTGCATTTCCTTTGTCTAAAAAAAAAAAAAATCAGTTATCTTCTCAAAGAAAGAGATTTGGCACAAACTTCCTTTTGTAAAACCATGTTTTATTTTATCCCAATTACCATTCACTTCTCTGTCTTTAACTATTTTCTCTTTCAAAATTTGTTCTAAGACCTTGCATACAACTGAGGTCAAATTAACAGGTCTATAGATTCCTGGATCACTTTTTTCCCTTTCTTAAAAAATAGATACTCTAGTAGCAATTCTCCAGTCATAGGGAACAATCCCCAATTTACAGAGTCATTAAAAATCCTTACTATTGGGTCTGCAATTTCATGTGCCAGTTCCTTTAATATGCTCAGGTGTCCCAGGTCCATGGTTGAGTTTAGCTGCACACATGGGGTTATTTTACTCTTTCCTTGCCAGTTCATTTGCTGTCTGGATCATTGTGATAATCTCTAGCAGCACCCTCAGAACCTGGACAGAGTAAGGGTGTCACTGTGAGGACAAAATCCCACAATAACCCACTGCAGCCAGAGGCTAGGGGAGCTGGGTCCGTGGTCATCTGGACTGACAGGGAACCAGCTCTGGATACTTCCTGCAGCTCCAGCCAGGTTAAGTGCAATGTGTGTGTGTGTGGCAGAGGAAGGGGCTGTAATGGGCAGGTGTCACTCCCCCCTGGCCAAGGGCTGGCGCTTTCCCTGATTGTTTTGTGCCCCCTCTTGACCCTATTGCTGCCATTGTTCTATTTAGCTGCTGCACAGAAAATCCTGCATGGCTATTAAATTATTTAAAATGGAAAATACCCCACATCACTGGACAAGACTGACTGGGGGAACCCAGCCTTCCCCTGCTTCCCCCCACCCCATGTGCCCTGTGTTCCATTCCTGCCCCCTGCACTGGGTCTGCCAGCCTGGCTCCCAGCTTTCATACAGTTCAAGCTTTTCAGGCCACAAAGGGGCACTGGCTACATCTTTCCCAAACCAGAGACTAAAGCTCCAGAGCCCCTATTCAGGCACTTGAAGAATGCCTGTGGGAGACCCAAGGAGCCCAGGTCTCCTTGACACCCACCTACGCTCTCCTTCTACAGATTACTGCGAGTGCCTCTAAGCCCCCAGCTCCCCATGTGCTTCCTCAGCTTTGCCCTGCTGTCTCCCGCCCTACCCACTCGCTCCCCCTCAGCCATGATCTCTCTGGGGCCACTGTCCAGGCAGACAAAGCACACAAGGATTCTGGTAGCTAGTGTGAATGCACTGAGTCATTTGGGCTTCACTTGGCACAAAACAACAAGGAAAGCACAGATGGGGGAGGCTCAAGTGTGTGAGTGTCAGTGTGGCTATGAATGGGGTATGTATGAGTGATTTGTTAGCAGGCACCAACATCGGTACATAAATAATGGCAGAACAGCAGTGTGAGATCTGTACAGAGTCACCTCTGCTACTGCCGCTGTGGCCAGAGGAAAGCTCCCCTCTGCCTTCCCTGGACAGGTTCTGCCTGCAGAGCCCCAGGGCCAAGTTAGAGTCCTAGGTGCAGTATTGTGCTGAGAGCCACAGGCCATCTCAGCAGCAAAGCTCCCCTCTTGGCTGGGGAGAAAGGCCTGCCAGGGCAGGCAAGCATCTCACGAGAGGGCTGCGAAGTCAGCAGCTTCCAGCAGTTGCAAATGCATTGTGAAGTCAAGAAGAATAAAAGAGGCTGTGAAGTGACAGAGGGTCTGTCTACACAGCAACTAGACACCCGTGGCTGGCCCCTGACAGCTGACTTGGGTTCTGGCTGCAGGGCTGTTTCATTGCTGTGTAGGTGTCTGGGCTCAGGTTGAGGTCTGGGCTCTAGGACCCGGCAAGGGGGGAGGGCCCCAGCCCAATCCTGGAAGTCTAAATAACAATGAAATAGCCCCACAGCCTGAGCCCTGCAGCCCAGAGTTGGCTGGTATGGGCTAGCCATGGGTTTTTCTTTGCTGTGTAGACAGACCCTCAGTGTCTTCAGGTCCCAGACCTTCAGAGCTTTTTGCAGGGCTCAGCAGCCAGCAAAGTCTGACAGAGCCCTGAGAACAGTTAGCAAGGGCTTCTGGCTCCCAGACAGCCTCTGCCCTGACACCAGTAAAGCACATGCTAATTAGTGAGCACAAGGCAGGGTTAGCCAGAGAGCAGTCCCAAGAAAGTGAACTCTGGGAATTGTCTGGAGAAAGAATGAAGCAGCAAGAGATGAGTGTTACAAACCAGGGCACATGTGTCTGACATAACCCCGAATCCCAGACTACTGAACTCACCCATTCCAGCACCAAGCCTGGAGAAAGAGAAGCAGAGCTTCATTAAGCAACAGAATGACCAGTAACTCAGAAATCTTCCTGTCCTGCAGCCAGATAATGGGCTGAGATTTAGTCTATTCTAGAAAATTAGATCGGCTTAACTTGTCCAAAGCTGGTCTCCAAAGTGCCTGTCAAGGCACTTTGTCCAAGCCCAGGTCTCCTTGACACCCACCTACACTTTCCTTCTGCAGATTACTGCGAGCACTTCCGAGCCCCCAGCTCCACACATGCTTCCTCGACATTGCCCTGCCTCTCTCCCGCCCCATCGGCTCACTCCCCCTCAGCCAAAATTGTTCACGCCCCTAAGATGTCGCTCAAGGGTGTGAACAATCCACACCCTAAGTCCCCATGTAGACAGCGCTAGGTCGATGGAAGAATTCTTACATTGATCTAGCTACTGCCTCTCAGGGCAGTGGATTACCTATGCCAATGGGAGAACCCCTCCCATTGGTGTAGGTAGTCTCTACACTGAAGCGATATAATGTGCCACTGTAGTGTTTCAAGTGTAGACAAACTGTTACAAATAGCATAAGGGAATATCTGGGCTGAACTGGCCCCATGACAGTCCAGGAGAACTTTGTCACTGACTTCAATGGATCCACCCAGCATGGATCATTTTCTCTGGATCTGTAGACAGGGCCATGAAGCTCACCCACTAATGCATTTCTATTGCATTCCACAAGCTTGTATAGAAAGCCCGTCATCTAAACCAGCATCACTGACCAGGGTACTGGGAGGATGGAAGAGTAAAGAACCAGTACATAAAAACGGCCATATTGAGTCACACTAATGGTCCATCTAGCTCAGTATCTTGTCTTCTAACAGTGGCCATGCCAGATGCTTCAGAGGGAATGAACAGAACAGGTAATCAAGTGATGATTACCCATCTTGCCCATTCTCAGCTTCTGGCAAACATAGGTTAGGGACATCATCCCTGCCCATCCTGGCTAATAGCCATCGATGGACCTATCCTCCATGAACATATCTAGTTCTCTTTTGAACCCTATTATAGTCTTGGCTTTCATAACATCCTCTGGCAAAGAGTTCCCCAGGTTAACTGCGTTGTGTGAAGAAATACTTCCTTTTCTTTGTTTTAAACCTGCTGCCTATTAATTTCACTGGGTGAGCCCTAGTTTTTGTGTTATGAGAAGGAGTAAATAACACTTCCTTATTTACTTTCTCCACACTGGTCATGATTTTATAGACCTCTATCATATCCTCCCTTAATCATCTCTTTTCCAAGCTGAAAAGTCCCAGTCTTATTCTCTCCTCATGCGGAAGCTGTTCCATACCCCTAAACATTTTTGTTACCTTTTCTGTATCTTTTCCCATTCCAATATACCTTTTTTGAGATGGGGCGACCATATCTGCATGCAGTATTCAAGATGTGGACATACCATGGTTTATATAGAGGCAATATGATATATTCTGACTTATTATCTATCCCCTTCCTAATGATTCCCAACCTTCGGTTAGCTTTTTTGCTGCCACTGCACATTGAGCAGATATTTTCAGAGAACTATTTATGATGATTCCAAGATCTCTTTCTTGAGTGGTAACAACTAATTTAGACTTCATCATTTTATATGTATAGTTTTAATAATGTTTTTTAATGTGCATTACTTTGCATTTATCAACACTGAATTTCATCTACCATTCTGTCGCCCAGATTTGTGAGATCCCTTTGTAACTCTTTGCAGTCTGTTTTGGACTTAACTATCTGAGTAATTCTGTATCTACAAATTTTACCACCTCACTGTTTAACCCTCTTTCCAGATCATATATGAATATGTTGAACAGTACTGGTCCCAGTACAGATCCCTGGGGGACACCACTATTTACCTCTCTTCATTCTGAAAACTGATCATTTATTCCTACCTTTTGTTTCCTATCTTTTAACCAGTTACTGATCCATGAGAGGACCTTCTCTATTATCCCATGACAGCTTACTTTGCTTATGAGCCTTTGGTGAGGGACCTTGTCAAAGGCTTTCTGAAAATCTAAATACGCTATATCCACTGGATTACCCTTGTCCACATGCTTGTTGACCCCCCTAAAGTAGTATTAGTAAATCTAGTAGATTGGTGAGGCATGATTTCCCTTTACAAAAACCATGTAACTCTTTTCCAACAAATTATGTTCATCTATGGGTCTTATAATTCTGTTCTTTACTATAGTTTCAACCAGTTTGACAGGTACTGAAGTTAGGTTTACTAGCCTGTAATTGCTGGCATCACCTCTGGAGCCTTTTTAAAAAATTTGTGTCACATTAGCTATCCTCCAGTCATCTGGTACAGAAGTGGATTTAAATGATAGGGTACATACCACAGTTAGTAGTTCTGCAATTTCATATTTGAATTCCTTCAGAACTCTTGGTGAATACCATCTGGTCCTAGTGACTTATTACTGTTTAGTTTATCAATTTGTTCCAAAACCTCCTCTAATTATACCTCAATCTGGGATAGTTCTTCAGATTTGTCACCTAAAAAGAATGGCTCAGGTTTGGGAATCTCCCTCACATCCTCAGCTGTGATGATCGATGCAAAGAATTCATTTAGTTTCTCCACAATGGCCTTATCGTCCTTGAGTGCTCCTTTAGCATCTCAATCATCCAGTGACCCCACTGGTTGTTTAGCAGGCTTCCTGCTTCTGATGTATTTAAAAATTTGTTTGTTATTACTTTTTGAGTCTTTGACTAGGTGGTCTTCAAATATATATATATATATATATATATATATATATATAAAATCAGTAGCCTAAAGCCTTAAAAAATCCTTTAAGTCTCTCAGAAGTAGTGAGCTTGTGAGAGGCATTTAGTTCAGTTGGCTGCCAGGGAATTAAAGAAACAAGCCAGGAGGTTAATGGCACTGAATCTGGGCATCAGACTTTACCACAGAGACTGCTCGGTGACCAGTCCCAGACTTGTTCTCCCCAGGTAACAAAGACAGAGAATGCACTGACAGAATGGGGGTGCTGGAACAAACGGACACAGGAAAGAGCAGAATTGCATGGTGCATAGCCAAGAGGGCTGAGAACTTACGAGCTTCTAGAAATGCATTCCATCTATTACTAAAGAAGGCAATTTTTCCAAAGAGCAGCTATTCAGCTGTCATTTACAGATGGTTGGAATTCCATCTTCCCAAAGGAAAATGCTGACAAAAATTGCTGAATTTCCCCCTCCCCCCTTTTCATTGAACACTGAAAATTGAAATATTTTGGCCCAAACCTCCACATTTTCTCTTTTGACAAAAAGTTAAAATTTCCTGCAGAAAGCAGAAACTGTTCATGAAAATAATGTTGTCCAGTCCAAACAATGCCGCAACATGCTGTAACCAGGGGTTCAGAGGCAGTGACCACTGTGATCCCTTCTGGCTGTGGAATCCATGAATGTCTGACTCAGTAACCATCAGGAAGAATGCACCTACCTCATCCAATCACTAACTCACCTGTGCCCAGCAGAGGTGAGGTGGGATTGCAGAGCACAGCACGCTGCACTGTCGCGGAGATGTGAGGGACAGTCACAGTGCCCCTTTCACTCAGCAGAGGGGTGTGACAGAGGCCTCTGCTCACTATTCTTAGCTGTGCCTGGGAGTAGAATGCGAGGGGAGGCAGGAGGGGAAGGGGATTGGCTCAAACAAGACCAAGGAGCTGCTGCCCCAGAGGCAGAGGATCCAGACTACTTAGGGTGATGGGATCTGTGGGAAGGAGCCAGTGATATTACCTTTTCGGGCAGGGAGCAGGGGTGTGTGTTGGGGCTGCATCTGACACTGAGGAGTGGGAGGGAAATGGGCTCCTTGTTCAGCAAAGAAAAGGGCAAGGAAAGAATTGCCAGGCCTGGTCAAGGGGGCCTGCTGGGGACAAGATGTCTGGGCATGGGGAGAGTTGTCCATGGACAACCCAGCACAACTTCAGGGCAAGAGAACTCGCTGAGACTCTAAACTATGAAACCCCATGTGGGTGATCCTGGAGATGGGGGAAAAGGGAAATCCAAGGTTCCCCATCCCTACTGCTGCTGCTCTAGGAGCATGTCATAAGAGCCATCAGACTCTGTTTGTATCCCCAGATCCCTCACCACTTACATCACTGCAGTGGGGTTCAGTGAGCCCCACCAGAACTGCACAGAGTACTGAACATGCTGACATCACTGCATGAATAGCCACCTGTAATTAAACGTTTGTGTCAAGGCCCATTTGCTTCCCCACACATTAGCCCCAGCTCTGCTGTGCCACAGCACACTTCTCTGGCAACAGAATACCTCCTCTCACACCCATCACACACACAGCACAAAGTTACAGAAGCAATCCACTTTGGGGAGTTTGTCCAGCTTTACATAGCTGCTGCTAAGTTGTCTATTCCCTGGCTGAAAGCTCATGCAAGGCTGAGAGCAGGGCATGCAGGGGGGAATGGGGACCTTTCCCAGCTTGTTGACAGTCCCACTCCCTTTTGGCATCAGCAGAAATGCTAGCCCTAAGCAGTGGCTGGGTCCTCTCCTGTACCCTACCCCGGAGCTATCAAGCCCCCAACAGGCTGGTGTTAAAGGGAATCACGAGGGAGGGGTCACTGCTTTATGCCAGTGGGAACATTTCACGCTCAGGGTATCTCTGTTCTCACTGCAGGGGCACAGGGAACTTACAAGCATTTTGCAGGAGCTTCTCCAGGGACTCACGCCACTGCAAAGCCTCATCTGGTGAGGTCCTAGAGGGAGAGAAAACCACAGACTGAAATTGTGACAGCACATCATCAATGAAAATGTAGGAAAGCTGAGAACACTTCACAAGCCTTATCACCCCCTTTTACAGAGGGGAAATGGAAGCATAGAACAATGAAGTGACCTGTCCAAGGGCACACTGCAAGTCAGTGACAGAGACAGGAACAGAACCTAGAAGTCCTGACAAGGCATTAGCCACTAAACATATGACTCTCCTCCTGGAGATGCATACAAATATAACCAAACAGTCTCCTTGAGAGCCAGCTGGGGTTTGTATTGGGAGATAGAGGTGTCTTTTTCCCCACACACACTGACAAAAAGGAAAATCCAAACCACCAGGTGCGTGGTAAATCTGTGCAGGAAATACATGGCACGGAGCAGAAAATTGCCTGTAGAAACTGGGTGCATCCATTGCCCTCTCCCCCTGCTCATCTGCCCAGCTGCAGTCTGGGACTGTGCCTGGTCCTGGCACGGATTGCTGCTGGGAACCAGGGTGTTGTGAGGGTGCAGGGAATAGCTGGACCTGGATGCGCCTTGTAGCATAGGAGCTGCTCCAAGGAGAGCTGTTCCTCAGATATAAAAAGCAGCAACAGCCTCAATCTGTTTATCAGCCTTAAAATGGTGGAGTGAGTCTTGAAGACACTGAGGGTCAGTCATCCCTGACAGGGCAGAGCCCAGTGCAAGGACTGAGATGGGGGCTTGTGCTCCCCCCACATCCTGGAGCTTCCAAACCCATGGTGCAGATTGCAGCCACCCTGAGGGCTGCGCTGACTAATTGATATGGCCCACATGGTCTGTAGCAGTGCCACAGAATAGCTGGGCAGAACCTAGCCCTTTCATGCCCCCTTCAACTCCTGACCTTTCACAGGGGGTTCTGTGTGTTGTGTGGGTTTTGTGGGGGGGTTCCCCTTCAGTTTGCAGAGGCTGGTAGGGCGCAGTGTGCAACAAGGGAGGCTGGGGAAGACGCATAAAGAAATGGAGGCTCAGGTGATCTTCAATGGGATTCTACCTGTCCCTAGAGGACAAAGGCAAGACAAGATTATGATGATTAACAGATGGCTCAGGCGGTGGTGCTATAAGAAGGGCTGAGATGGTCGGTGCCCCCCATAAGGCTTTATGGAAATATGCTTATGTATGTGTGTGTGTGTATATAAATAAATAAAAATAACATAACTAGAATGTGTTGTATGCTACATATGCCATGTAACATACCTCTGTAAAGGTTATGATCTATGGAATCTATTAATCCCATTTGTAGGCATGTATCATTTTTGTATTCAAAGTTATGAATATTGGCTGCATACTTGTTTGATTCTAATTAGGCTGTAGTGAAGCAGTTGGTCAGCTTCCTGAGAAAAGACTATTCTCAGTAAGTGCCCAATCAAGAAACACTTAAGCCAACAATGAACTTGGAGACACCAATCCACATCTGGGCTTTCCCAGGAATGTGGTTGGCTGGTAAGGAACTCAGTCGTGCATGGACATGTGATTTGCCCAGGTGACTCCAAAACTCCATTTGAAGCTGGACTTTGCATAGGAGAGAGGAGGGGGTCTCCACCCACAAGAGAAAGTCTATTTAAGACTGTGGGAAACCCCTCCATTTTGTCTTCAGCTGGCTAAAGAGAGGGCCTCTTCACCCCCAAAGATACCTGAAAGAAACTGGAACAAAGGACAGTGACTGCAAGGGGTGGGAGTGATTGCTGGACCCAGACTAAAAGGAGATTAGTCTGTAAAAGGGAGCATTCTGGAACCGGTGAGGATCTTATCTGTATTCAGTTCCTTACTGTATTAGACAGACTTGTGTGTGTTCTATTTTATTTTACTTGGTAGTTCACTTTGTTCTGTCTATTACTACTTGGAACCACTTAAATCCTACTTTCTGTATTTAATAAAATCACTTTTTACTTATTAATTAACCCAGAGTATGTATTAATACCGTGGGTGGGAGGGAAAACAGCTGTGCATCTCTCTCTATCAGTGTTATAGACGGCAAACAATTTATGAGTTTACCCTGTATAAAGCTTATACAGGGTAAAACTGATTTATTTGGGTTTAGACCCCATTGGGAGTTGTGCATCTGAGTGTTAGAGACAAGAACACTTCTGTAAGTTGCCTTCAGTTAAGTCTGCAGCTTTGGGGCAAGTAATTTGTTGGAGCAGACGAGCGTGTCTGGCTCAGCATAACAGGGTGCTGGGGTCCCGAGCTGGCAGGGAAAGCAGGGGCAGAAGTAGTCTTGGCACATCAGGGGGTTTCTGTGATCCAACCTGTCACAGTGGTGTAGTTGGCAGGATCTGTGCACAGCTGATTGCTTTGAGATACTGGTAGTGATTTTAAGTGAGTTCTAAGTGTGGTGGCTGGAGAACAGACAAAGTGGTTACTGGTTTGTTATTTTCTGTTTGCTTATTTCAGGCAAGGGAAGTAGGGACAGAAAAGGAAGCAAAATAAAGTCTGAACACTGGGCTCTGGGAAAGTCTCTGTTGACTAAGAATCCCCTGAGCTGAGTGCATCCCAGTTTCAGTGAACTGCAGAGGGGGTGTGGCCCAGCACAAGAAAGCAGGAAAATGACTACCAGTGAAGCAGCAACTAAACTAGAGCTGGCTAGACTGGAAGCAAAGAAGAAAGAAAATGAACATAAAAGACTGATGGAGAGAGAGGAGGCTGCCCACAAGAGAGCTATGGAGGCAGAAACAGCAAGGGTGGAGGCAGAGGAAGCTGCCCACAAGAGTGTTATGGAGGCAGAAACAGCGAGGGAGGTTGCCTACAAGAGAGCTATGGAGGCCCAGAGGGAGGCCCAGAAGCATGAACTGGCTGTTATGGAGTTGAAGAGACAAAACCCTCCACCTGCTGGTTCCATTTCCCCAAAAATCCACAAATGGGAGCAACTGTGTCCACAGTATTAGGAATCCAGTGATATTGCTGAATATCTCATCACCTTTAAGAGACTGTGCACCGTCCATGCCATCCCTGAAGATCAAAAGATGACCACATTGATAGCAAAATTGACTGGCAGAGCTCTGGACATATTCAATAAGATGCCTATTGATGATGCCTCAAACTATGGTAAATTTAAGGAACTGGTTTTGAAACAGTTTCGGGTTACACCTGAAACCTACAGGGTTAAATTCAGGAGTCTTAAGAGGGAATCTGGATTGAGCAATGTGGCTTATGTAAATGAAATGAGAGATTTGGTAGATAAGTGGGTGAGGGGGAAAGGCATTACAAGCTTGGAAGAAATGTGTGATTTGGTTACTCAGGAACAATTCCTGAATATGTGCAGTGATGACGTAAAACAGTATTTGTGGGACAAAAAGGTGGATGCAGTGGGTCAATTAGCTGGGTATGCAGACTCTTATGAGCAAGCACAAGCTGCAAACAAACAAACCACTGGCAGAGGGGTACAGGGTTGGGGGAAAGCAGAATCACTGTTTTATCCCTGGGAAAAAGGAGGCTGGGCGTTCACCTCCCCATTCCCCTGTTACTCGTCCCAAATTTCCTGTGCAAGCAGAGGGAGCCCAAGAGGTGCTATCATTGTAAGTCCACTGAGCACCTGAGGAATAAGTGTCCCTTGCTGAGTGGGAACAAGCAGCAAGTAACACATAAAACTGCTACTTCTCAGAGCCCAGCTGCTGCCTCTTTCCACACAGGATTTGTAAAGCTTGCTTCCACACAACCAAGCAATGAGCATATGCATGCTGTTAAAATCAATGGTAAAGTGCTTCTTGGATTGAGGGACACAGGTGCTGAGATTTCTGTGGTCAGGAGGGACCTGATCCAGGAGAAGGATTTGTTGCCAGGTAAAATGGCAGAATTAGAACTAGTGGGAGGTTACAAAGTCCTTGCACCTTTAGCTAAAGTACACATGCAAACTGGTGGTTTGCAGGCTGAACTGACAGTTGCAACGGTGGCACACAATTTTGCACCATTTCTACTGGGGAATGATTTCTTTAATGTGGCAGAATCTGTCCCAGGGTTGGTTAGCAGTGAGACGGAATCTTGTGCTAAAAGCACCAGGGGGGCTGAAGTCAAATGGACTGCTGGGGGAATAGGAGGGTGTCTCTTAGATTCCTCTGTAGCAGTAAAGAATGCAGATTTGGGGGCAGGGATGGTTGTGGCCAGTTCCTGTAGCCCCAGGGCTCCAGGCAAGTCCCAGAGGGAGGGGCTGGACAAAGCCAGCTCCTGTCCTGTAATCATCTCCCCGGGGGAGGAGAATGTATCACTTTGTAACGGGGGGCCACTCCAGCTGCTAACTGCCAGGAAGTTGAAGGTCAGCACGGGGCAAAGCCTGCCCTGGAGTGCACAGAGGCGTGTGTCCCAAAGGTGGAAGTTGGGGTCCTGGTGACCACTGTGGTGGGAACAGACCCCAAGATCTCTGTAGCTGGAAGCAAGCCCAACCTGAGTGAAAAGGGGGGAATTTTGCTGGCCAGTGAAGGGTCTGCCATAGCTGGTAGCTGTGAGCCCACAGCTAGACCAGGATCACCTTCCCTTTTGGGGGACACAGGAGTGTCTGACCCAGAGGGAAGCCCCGAAAGGGAAGCCCAGATGGAAGGTGAGGGGGAGCCAGAGATTCCGCCCACCTTTTGTAGGGAGGATCTTTCCCAGGAGGAGGGTGAAAAGTCTGCATTTAAAATGCCAGACCTCTCTCCTGTGGATTAGGTTTTAAGGGAAAACTGGGGGTCAGATCTCCGGGAGGGGGGAGTCCATCCAGCTGACCTGTTGGGAACAGAAAGTGGGGTTTTACCAAACCAAGGCACTCCATTGAAAGATGTTGTTCTTGCAACGCTTTTAAGGGATAAAACTCTCTCCAAGAGAGGAGGGGAAAAATCTCTGCATGGGTGAAACTTCACAAGGGAGTGGGGTCCAGCAACTAAGATGTCTGTACACCAATGCAAGGAGCCTGGGGAACAAAATGGGGGAACTAGAACTACTGAGGGTGAAACCAGATACTATAGGGATAACAGAAACATGATGGAATAGTAGGCATGACTGG